AATAAACTAAATCTTTTATAGCATACAAAAAGTATCATTATTTTAAATTTTTTATATTATTATTTAGTTATTTAATTATTTCAAGTCAAAACAAGCTGAACACGAACGAACAAATCTTTGTTTGTGTTTGGTTCGTTTATAAATCGAGCTTAAAAAAATTGTTTGTGTTCGGTTTGCTTGCTTAATGAACGAATCATACACGAGCTGTTTGCAAACAACGAGTTTTTTTTTATAGCCTTTCTGTCATCGAGGCAAACACTCGATATTATGCTTCAACGGAAGCTCGAGCCACTACAGGTTGCTTCTTGTAGACTAGGTGAGAAGATTAGATCCAATGAATGAGCAATACCCAGTAATATATCTTCTATCACTTGAATCGCTAGCCCAACTTGTATCGCAATGTGTGGAGAGTGAGAGGTCCTGATTGTAATGGCAACCAATATCCAAAGTTCCTTCAATATATCGAAGAAGTCTTTTGAGATTCTAATAATGGGTGTTGAGAGGCTGATGAAGGTATTGAGCAAGAGTGTTAATAGTAAAAGCAATATTGGGTCACGTGATAGTTAAATATTGTAAGGAACCAATCAGTTTTTTGTAAAGAGTAGGATGATTGAACAACTAATTAGAGTCAAAAGAAAGTAAAGAGGAGTGAGCCATAAGATTGGTAACAGGTCTGCATTCAGTCATTCAAGCTATATGAAGAATTTCCTTGGCATAAGAAGTTTGATTGAGATGAATCCCATGGGAAGTATGTTGTATATTAATGCCTAGGAACGTAGATACGAGTCCAAGAATTTTCATAGAAAATGTGTTATGAAGATTTGTTAATAGATTTTAAAGAGTATGTGAATCATTTTCAGTCAATAAGATATCATCAACATATAGCAGGGGATAAATGCAAGTTTCTTCATTTTTGTAGATGTGAAGAGCAGAATCAACATGACTATGGGTAAAATCAAATTTGATGAGATGATTGCTATAAGTGTTATACCATTGTTGTGGAGCTTGTTTAAGGCCGTAAATTGATTTTTTCATTAAACACACATGATTGGGATCATTAGAATCAATGAAACCTGAAGGTTGACTCATATACACTGTTTCTTGAAGTTGGCCATGCAGAAAGGCATTGGAGACATCCATTTGAAGAACTGACCACGCGTGATGAAGAGGAACAATTAATAGAAGTATGATTGTAGGAAGTTTAGCCACAAGGCTAAAGGCTTCAGTGTAGTTAAGACCAAACTCTTATTGATAAACTTGAGTCACAAGTTTGGCTTTATACATCGCCACAGACCCATCTTGATACCTTTTGATTTTTTATGTCCATTTACTACCCAATATGGGTTGATCCTCAGGCGGAGAAATTAGAATCCGAGTGTGGTGAGAGAGGAAAGCCTGGGATTTAGAATTCATAGCTTCCTGCCATTGTGAATGTTTTCCATCTTGTTTGAAATTGGAAGGTTCCAATTCAGATTGTTGTAAGTGAAGAAAATCAAAAAATCTTTTGCTAGGTGATGATCCTGTTTTAGATCTAGTGAGCATGGGATGGGGTGGGAATAGAGGCTTGAGTATGATCAGGCTGCTCAAATGTAGGATCAAATGAGTTGAGGTGAGCGACCGTAGAAACAGGCTGGTTTGTTAGAGGAGATGAAGGCTGAGAGTTGATAAGAGTGGGTGGTTGTTAATTGACAGATTGGGAACGTGTCTTTGATGGAATTGTGTTCGGTGGGAGAAGAGGTATGGTGGTAGTTTTTGGTAGGAGTGAAGGAGAAGGAGAGGAACATTGTTTGAGGGAAATGTATTTTCATTAAAAATAGCATGTCTGGAAATAGTTATCTGGCCGGTATTACGATTGAAGCATTTGTAGCCTTTTGCTGTTAGTAGGATGGACCAAAAACATACAAGAGAGAGACATTTGCTTGAGTTTATTCCTTTGAGAAGGAGCTAATCAAGGAAAACATTCACATCCAAAAACTTTGGGTGATTGTAATAGGGTGTTTTACCGTATAAGAATTGATAGGGAGATTGAGAAGAAGTGGTTTGTGATAGTAACCGTTTGATAATATATATAGCGGTATTCATAGTTTCCAGCCATAGAGAAGAAGGAAGATATGAATCAGCCAATAGCGCTCTTTTGATTTCTAATATATGATGATGTTTTCTTTCAACAATTCCGTTTTGTTTGGGAGTGTAAGGGCATATAATTTGATGAACAATACAATGAGTGGTAAGAAATTTAGTAAATTAAAGATTGTTATAATCACCACCTACTTTGGTTTGTAGAATTTTAATGCGTTTATCAAGTTGTAATTCAAGTTGCTGCTTGAAGTTAAGAAAATGTGAAAGAACTTGAGATTTGTAGGTCATAGGATAAATCCATGAGTACCTTGTAGCATCATCAACAAACAACATTATAATGATACCATTGAATGGAAGGAGTGGGGGAAGGTCCCCAAACATGGGAATGTATATTTCAAGAGGAGCACATGTGTTTTGACTTGTCTATGATTCTTAGCAATATTACAAGAAACACAAAAATCAGATGTATTAGTAATATTGAAGTCAGGGTACTGTTTGGAGATGACTGCTATTGTTTGATAGTTAGCAGGACCCCCCAACCTTTTATGCCACTGTTTACTTGTGTTGGTAACACTAACAAGAGCTGGGTATAAGCCTTCATGACATGGTCCTTGTAGAAGAATCTGCTTAGTTACATGATCCTTGATTTGATAACCATTAGCATTAAAAATAATGAAACATTGTTATCATGAGCAAGTTGAGAAATAGGGATAAGATTGTGAGAGAGTTGAGGTTTATGTATTAATTTAGAGAGGATGTGCTTACGACTTAGCATACGAAAAATGCCTTTACCAGTATTGTGAAGATAACATTACCATTTCCCACAAAGACTTGATCTGCCCCTTGGTATGCTTCGGGCTACTACAAATGTTGAACATCAGATGTGAGATGAGTTGTTGTGCCAGTGTCGAGATACCAATGAGGCGTGGAAGTGGCTGCGACAAAAGCTGTTTTGTTGGGTGCTTTAGTGGGTAGATATATTGGGTTGAGATGATGCCAGCAGTTTGTAGCTGAATGTCCTTGCTTATGGCAGATTTGACAAACCACAAAAACGAAAGCCTTCACATTTTTGTCAGGAAAAAATTTGTTGGTCTCCCGACCTGGACTTCTGTAATAATTTGGCTTGCATTTACCTCTTTGTGAGTATAAAGCCAGTTAAGGATCAGAGGATTTGGTTTCGGTGGGAAGATCAGCAGAAATGTTGATTTCCTTGCTCTAGAATAATGAATAAAGCATTTCAAGATCAATAGTGTTGGACTGAGTTCTAATAGCCGTTTTGAATGCTTGATAGGTGAGAGGTAGGCCTTAAGAATATAAAGGATGGTATCTACAGCCTTGATTGTGGCTCCCGCTGCTGATAGATACTGAGTCATAGTTTGAGTTGTATAGTTCACGATTGTTTTGATTTGAGTTAGGTACTGAGTCATAGTTTGATTCCCTATTGCAACAGTAACTCGTTCTTGAGTTGTATAACTCGCGATCGATTGGTAGCTTGCAGACGGCACTCGAGAGTGCGGCAGATCTCGAAGAAAGATTCAACACATGAGGAAGAAAAGTTGCAGAAATGGTGAAGATGATAGCAACAACCAAGTTCTGATCAGCTAATATTCATGTATTCGAGGCAAGATTGGGAACACGTGATCCAGATTCAGTGATAAAATGTTCAGGGGGGGCAGCAAATCGATTGCTTTGGTAAACCATTCAAAAAAGCCATCAATGAATCCAAGAAAATTATTCGCTTTGGTAAATTTATGTATTTGAGATTTCTAAAGAGGCTAGTTATCGGTGGAGAGAGAAGTGGTAACCACCGATTTGATGTTAGATATCAAGAATTTGGGGGAGAGGAATTATAAATTCAATTTTATTTATAGATGCTAGACTTTCGAAGGTGTTGGAGTTGTCCATCACAAGGTTTGAGACGCTTTGCTGATCGCTGTGAAAGGTAGAGACAGTGGTAGTTCAAAAGAATTTTGACTCTGAAAGAGAAAAAAGGGTACAACAGTCTCGAAAATGTCCAATGGTGAGGGTATCGCCGGCGGCAGCAGCAGCAGATCGCCACAGAAAGAGAGATTGGCGGGCTTGAAGAGATGAGGCGGGGAGATTCAGCGATCTTTTTTACACGGCTCTCTCGTGGATACTTTCTCGACAACGCTAATGCCGGTTCTATCGCTTGAGATTCGGGCAAGAAAAGGGTGAACGAGAGTTTCAGAGCTCTGATGCCATGAAAGCAGTCTAAGATATGAAATCTTTAAGATGAAACAGAGAAGAGAAAAGGAAAAAGTAAAGCAGAGAAAATATTATTCAATATCTTGTTATAGTACCAACACAACCCAATATAAAGGACTACAAAAGTCTATAAAAAATAAATAAATCCAATAATGGAGATAAAACATAGAATTCATATTATATTATTTATTAGATTTTATCCACTCATAGCAAAAGCTATATGCATAATAAGTTTAGCTACCCATTCTGCACTCAATAGTGTAATGAATGAAGAATTAAGATTCATAAAATTGATTACAAATAGTTCAATAAAGCTAATAATGTTGATGATGAAGATGATGATATCATGGATCATCATTTCAGCTTTAATTACGACCTTATCATTTCTGCTTTATCATTCACTTCATTGCAAACTGAGTGGCCCACCTATAGGCTTTCGGAGGTCAAATGCAAGTTAGTTTCATCCATTCATTTGTCAAATTAACCATGCCTAGGTTCAGCCATATGTTCTGTCTAATTAGTTTACCTGGCCGAGTCTAAAATTATGGCTTAGCATAGATTTATGAACCTTGTCTGTGATCCTTTTGTTATTTGTCAGACACTGTCTTGGTTTGCTTCCATTTGTTACTTTCATGACTTTGCTTTATGTGGCAATGAGCCCTTCGAAATAAATTTAACATTTTCCTCTTTCTCAGATTGTGCGAGCCAGAGCGATGTTGTTGCAGGATCTTCATAGCCGTACAAAACCAAATACCAACGGATCAACAAGTTTGTCCTCTCTGAAAGAGGATGAGCAGCGTGAGCCTACCAGTCCAAGTGAAGGAAGAGCCGGTGTCATGCCATCAACACCACCACAAGCTGAGGACATATTCGTCTCCATTCCCGTCGTCGATATTTCGACGGAGAAGCATCCAGTTGAAAGCACCGAAGCGAAAATCATCGACAAATCTGTCATCGAAGAAGACTCACCAGTCCAGTCTATGAGCAAGGATCTGGCAGAAGTTTCTACTATATCAAAGCAGAAGGATGAAAGCAATGAAGATGATTGGCTTGAGGATGAGAGTGCTGAAGCCAGTGGCCCTGGAGAAAATGCTGCTCCTTTAGGACAAGATGAAGATGTCTCCTTCAGTGATTTAGAGGAAGATGATGACCACGGGATAGGTGCAGAAACCAAAGCAATTTCCAAATCCACTCCCACGCAGGTGAAAGAACCAAGGGGTTGGGTTCAGCTCAACAAGAGCAACCAGAACAAGGATGATTGGTTAAATGTTGATGAAGTCGATGCGGAATGATTGTTCGAGGCCTTCTTCGATATTTCTGTATGTTAGCTTCTAATTGCACCCTTTTTATTGAATGTACTTGTCGCTTTTGTCATTGATTTTCTGTACATAGCTTCTACTTGTTGGTCGTTCATCTCCCACTCACAGTTGGATTTGATCTGTAACTAAAGTTTTTTCTGAATGTGAACCTAAGTACTTAAATTTAGCGTGGCGGTCCGGAATTTTTATTCAGGTGCACCAAATTGGTGCTTGGTAAGATTGATATATATTGTTTTGTATGTCTAGAGCTCCTGGAATCATTTTACGTATAATCTCTAGAAATCTTCTTCTGAACTCAAAAATCCCCCCCCAAAAAAAAAAACAAAAATGCAAATCAAAGAATATCAAGTAGGATTTCGAAGCCTAAAACAAAAATTCTAGTTAGGCTTTCAATGCCTATTTTAATAGTCTAAAATTTAACCATAAGGAAAAAGGTTAAAACTTGTGATACATGATGATAACAAGTATCTCAGTAGAAGATTTTTAAATTAGATATTTTATAAGTGTTTTGCATCTTAGAAATCGCTCAAACTGTTAGCATGTGGTCGAACTCAAATATATAATCCAACCAGTTGTATTATGAATGACATATACCATCTAAAGATGTCAAATGTAAATTACTAAATTTAGTTGGAGCATATATTTTAATTATGACATGCGTATCTTTTAACTAGGGCATATGAATGCATACCACCCAAATACTATGTATTTAAATATCTAACGCTTAATTTATTCTTACTATTTTCATATCACCCAAATCTTACCGTATCACATAGAAAAAAAATCGCCATTTCAATTTTAAAAAATGAAATATACCTTTTAATGCATAGACAAGGGGACAAGTATGTAAATGTTGACGTTTAGGTCTTAAATACGTAAAGAAAATAGAAATCGAGGGTGGTGTATATGTAAAGATGCCCGATGAGTGAAGAAGAGTATTTTGGCCCCCTTTTTACGAATACAGGGATGCACAAGAGTGCAAGTTATAGAGGAATTTAGTTAATGTGTCATACTTTAAAATTATGGGAGAGGGTAATTGAATATAGGTTAAGACATGACACAAAGATTTCTCATAATTAATTTGGATTTATGTCGGGCAAGTTTATTATGAAAGTTATACATTTATTGAAAGGTAAGATGGAGAAGTACAGAGAGAGAGTAAGGAGGATCAATATATGGTTTTTATTGATTTAGAAAAAGCTTACAATAAGGTTGCAAGAGAAGTTCTTTTGAGAGTTCTAGAAAAGAGAAGTGTTAATATGACTTATATTGAATTCATTAAATGTATGTATACTAGAGTTGTTACTTGTGTTCTAAGAGGAGGATTGATCAAGTATTTTCCTATTTCAATTAGATTACATCATGGATCAGCTTTAAGTCCATATATTTTTACTTTAGTTATAGATGCTCTTACTAGACATATACAACAGGATGTGCCTTGGCGCATGCTTTTTGCTGATGATATCCTTCTTGTGGATATAAATAGAGAATTTGTTCAGGAAAAAAACTTGAATTATGGAGATCTACATTGGAGTCTAAAGGCCTTCGTTTGAGTAGATCTAAGACTGAATACATGGAATGTAAGTTTAGTAGTAGTAGCTCTAGTGTCTGAGTTGTAACTATGTGCGATCAAATCATTAAAAGGTGTGGACGTTTTAGATATCTCGTCTATTGTTCAAATTGATGATGATATAGATGAGATGTTATTAGTAGAATTCAGGTTGCCTGGTTGAAGTGGAGGAATGCATCAGGTCTATTGTGTGGTAGAAAAGTACCGCTTAGACTTAAAGGAAAATTTATAAGATGGTAGTGAGACCTGCAATGTTTTATGACATAGTGTTGGCCTTTAAGAGAAAAGCATAAAACAACGTTAAGTGTTGTTGAGAAGAGAATGCTTAGGTGGATGAGTGGCTTGACATTTAGAGGCAAAATGCAAAATGAATCTATCTGTAAGAGGGTTGGTATAGCTCCAATTTCAGACAAGATTAGAGAGAGTCTTCTTAAATGGTTTCATCACATTAAACATCGACCATCTGATGATCCAGTTAGATGAGTGGATTTTCTTATATTTAATTTATGTTAAGAAAGGCAGAGGTAGACCTAAAAATACATGGGCTTAATTTACTAGAATTAAATGAAATTATGACACTCAATAGGACACAATGTTGAAAAAGGATTCATGTAGTCGATCCCACCTAGTGGGATAAAGGGTTGTTGTTGTTGTAAGGTAGAAATTAAATGTTTAATCTTTGGACAACAAATCGCTTAAGGTAAAAATGAAGAAAAACTAAGCAGAGCCATCTGAAATCAGTTATGGTATTAATATAAAGATCCTTTTAGTAAATTGTTGGAGTAAAATTTTATTTATGCAAAATTATTGATAAACTTAGTTCGCTTTTAAAACTCAAACGTTAAAGTTGCCCAAAGGACTGTATCATTAACCTAACATAGTGTCCATCTTAGATAGTCTTTGTAAAAGAACTCACAAGAGAAATGTTGCATATCAGAAGATTCACGACGGTAGAGTGATATTTAATATATTAACATTGCATGAAGATTCATCACACATACACTGATAATAGAAAAATAACAGGAGGAGACACCAAATTTTCTTACGCAGAAAAACCCTGAAAAGGGAAAAAATTAAGTGGCCTAGTCTAGTCAAAGTGATCCAATATATGATCATAAGTGCATAGCTTCACTCTTCTTTAGAATTAGTAAAAATAGAATTACAGCGCTGATAATTACATATATACAATAATCATCCAACTTTAATAGCTTTAATCGGGCTACATAGGTAGCAACTGAGCACATAAGTCGTGATTGGTCACATAGGTTATTAGTTAGTAGCAGCAACAATATTAATTATCCACAAAGACCGTAATTGGAAGCAACAATAACAGTTAGCTATATAAGATGTAGTTGGCAGATGCAGTAACAGTTAGACACCGTGCCATAATTAGTCACATAGATCAATATTGAAAATTGCAGTAACAATTACTATATAGGTTGTAGTTGATCACATAGATCGTGGTTAGTAGCTGGATTAACATCTAAACACCTAGAATGTTGTTGATCACATAGGTTATGGTTGATAGTTGTGATAGTAGTCAACCACATAAGTTATAGTTGGTCAAATATGTCAGAGTTTGAAGCTGCAATGACAATTAGCTATAAAAAATGTAGTTGACCACATAGACCATGATTGAAAGCTACAATAATAGTTAGTCACATATGTCATAGTTCGAAGTTGTAGTATCAACTTATCACATAGGTCATAGAGGAAAGCTACAGTAATAATTGAACACATAGATCGTAGCTGGTGCTACACCGGTTGGTAGTTGCAACTGTCTCTCAGGTTTATTATTTTATGTTGGAGATAACACTTATCGGTATACGATGTATAAAAAACTTCAGGGGTACGAAGAAAATCCTCGTATTATGAATTTGGCGGTTGTAAGCAGTTGTCACCATGAGTTATCATTGGTCCTTCAAAACGGTGTTATTCGTTACACCACATTTCAGATATTTCATTACATCGTATTCAAGGTCTTTCTTAAGCAAATAAAGTTCATTGATGACGGTGAGTAGGCGGCGACCGGAGATGGTCGTTAGTGGTTATCTACCACAGAGACTAGAAGTTAGTGTCGGTTCTCCGATCTAGAATAACATTGAAATTCAAATCCTCCTCCCTCCAAGTGAAGAGAGAATATCTATTTATAGCCTTGGGAGAAGGAGGATTATGATCTTTTGGCGAATAATTTCTGCAACCACCTAATTAGCCAACTCATATTGATCTCTCTTAATCATAGAATTTATTTAATGATTTGAGGGTCTTAATGACCTCAAAATAAGGGATCATATGCTCATTGAATTCCTCTCGACAAGACGTTTGATTTGATTATAGATATACAAAATTTAGAGTTTAGTTGTACATTCAATCAATGATTTGAAACCTCCACATGAGGTTCAATAGGATTGGACTTAGATTGAACTGATTTTGATTTCATTTTGTATTATGCAGATGGTCAGTTTGACTATAAGTTTGTCGAATTGTATCTCTAGATAATTTTAATTTGAATCAGAATGTGTTTTATTAAAAAAATATATCTAGGTCTATGGCAAATAATTAAATTTTGTAATTATATTCAGAAATAAGTTAGTTTCTTCGTACTTCAATTAACTCTACTTACGTCACTCATGCCTTAAGATACAAGATTTATAAAAGAAAAGAAATACATGAAATTAAATTAGAAATAGGGTTAGGTTATAGGATATCGTCATCAAAATTTGATTGATATATGATGAATCCTCATCTTTATTGGATTTAGAGTTGTGGCTAGTTGTTTGCAAATAATTCGTGTTTGACTCGTTAAGAAGCAAGTATTTGATTCGTTCGCTAAGCGAACGAGCCCATCAGAAACAATTTTTTTGCGCTTGATATATAAATGTGCCGAACACGGGTCAAAATAACTAAATATATATATAATTAATGAGTTATATTTTTAAATAATTTAACTTTGTAGAGGGCTACAACAATCTATAATCAATTAAAATTATTAATTAAAAAACAGAAAAAAAAAATATTAAATTATATTTAAATGATATTTTAATACAAATAAAAATATTTAAATCTCACTCATACTCTTGACAGATTTATCAAAACATTTCTTTGTTCGCAAATAGCTCGTGTTCAACTTTTTGTTTTTGAAATATAAACAAGATGAACAAAGACAATTGTATTTTTAAGACGAGAAAAAAAAGAGAAAACTTAAGAGCAGAGATTGCTGTGTATGTTCCAGAAAATTGGTTGCACCAAATGTTCATTCTCATGACGTAATTTTTTTTCTCTTATAGTTAAGAAATTATTTTCTATATAATATGCATGAGTGAAAATTACATTTAAATCTTTAGGGATTTATGATTAATCTCGTCTTATTTGATATTAACATGTAATCAAAATATTTATGTTATATTAATTTTAGATAAATTTAATGGCTTTAGCCTCTGTAGTAGGAAAAATTATTTCATACGGTGTCTGGTCTTCACTGTCAATTACAGCAAAGATGTATAACGACAGATCCTACTTTAAATTTTCTTTAAAAAAAAAAAAAAATATTGTGATGGAGGGTGGCATACGGTGTCTGTTTTTCCTGTAGTAGCGCCGTTGGTTCCGTGAATTCCTGTCCTGTAAACGCTCATTTATTAAGCGACCAAACCAATCAAATAATAATCGTGTCTCGAAGCTCCTTCCAAACAGGGAAGAAAAAAATAGCTCTTTTGTCTAATAAATATGTCGATTCCGATAGTTTATTTAATTCTGTGATTAGACTTTTGCTTAATTTATGCCCTTCTTCTTAATAAATATTAAAAGCTCATGCCATTAAATTTGTATTGGCTATCACTCATCAGTTAACTGCTGTCCTCTTAACTCAAAAATCCGCAAAAATAGGTTAATTTTTAATTCAGAATAGATCTCAATATTTTGTTGAATATTTTATTTCTAGATTAAAATTATATTACATCATGTAAATAAGAAATGAATTCGCACAAATCTCGAATACATCAAACAGGAAGAGGCACATTTATTCAACCGGACTGCAAATCAAGACCAGAGCCGACTAGATACAACCATTTGAGTCAGTTCATAAGCCCAAACCTATCAAACCAAAACAAGGGACACAAACTAAAAGCCATAAGAAAGCTCATCGATGTCGGCAATCAACCTTTCGTGAGACCACAACGGAGAAAAAGCTTAGCTCCTCAGTGTCATCAATCATCCCACAAATACCCAAAATACTTCTTATCATAAATCAAAAAGTAATCATCACTTCACCTTTCCTTGTTGAAGAGTGAACTATCTATCGGATTATAGTGATTTATCATTTGCCCGATAGCCTAACATTACTCAGCTAACAAAACTTCTTCACCAGAGATCTCCCGGTCAACAATTAGATAAGATTAATGGTTCGATAAACTCTAACCAATCGAGCACTCAAAGGCTAAGAAACCACCTCTACCCAATATAGCCACAAACAAACCTTAACAAAGTAAGGTCCACGGAGCCAAGTCTAACCTAGCCAGAAGACAACGAAGTCATAGGCTCATACATGTAACATACCTAACATATCCTCTACCACCCCTTAAAACTAGGTCAAAGATATATTTTCACATATTATTTCCTCCTCTTATAAATAAATAATTATTTTATGAAATACAGAATATTTTTTACATTCATCTACTCAACCCCCTCTTTCTCTCTTCTCTCTTTCTTTGACTCCTGACTTAAAATTAAGTGCAGCGTAAATTATTCTTGAATTATTTTTCGATTATTTTTTATTTATTTTCAAAAATCCTGAAATAATCAGTTTTTATTTTTTGATTATTTCTGGGTTATTTTGATATCATTAAAAATAAACTAGAAATAATCTGAAAATAACTCAAAAATAACTTTCAACCGCACGTAGAGCTACGCAGAAGTCCGCACAAAAATTTTTTTTTGAAAATTCAACACATCAATTTCACATCATATATTATAAAATCATATATGAAAAACCATTAATTTCGTAACGCTAAAATCTTCAAAAGTATTTACAAAAATCTTCAAAAGTAATTACAAAACATACGAAGCAAAAAATCAGTAACCACAAAGGAACAATAAGTAGAAAATAAAAAAAAAATAAATAAATAACCTGTCCCAACAACTCAGATCTCATAGCATTCAACTTCAAACAAAGTACATATAATAATTTTATATATAAGCTATAGAATACATACTCTCGTAGCTATTTAACCAAAAGATCACAACCGCTCATCATCACGATTCAAAACCTAACCAGATCGACCGACCGCAAAAGAAGCACAGAAGAAAGCTCATCAGTCAATCAACAGTAAGCGACGCACTTCTTCTTGCAGTCAATAGTGCATCCGCCGCCACCTCCGCCGCCGCCGTATCCCTTTCCGGAGCCGCTATATGAGGTGAAGCACTTCGCCGGACAGATCAGCCGCTTGTTAAGACACGGCCCCTTCTCCGAGCACACCTCGGTCGGATCACCCCGTTTCGCGAGTGACCGCCGGAGGGGCCGCCGTAGCCGCCGCCATAACCACCGCCGAGGTTTCCCCATCCAGTGTTGCTTCCGCTTCCACCGAAGCCCGGGATGTTGAACTGACCGCCGGGGCTGAAGAAGTCACCAGGGAAGGGATCGGGGTTGCGTGAGGCGGCGGTGAGGATAACGGAGAGGAGGATGAGTAAGGCGGCGGCGGCGGTGGGGGGCATGGTTTAGGGTTTGGGGTTGATTTTGATTTATCTGTTTTGGTTGATTTTTGGGGGTGGAGAAGGAAGATAATAGTTTGGTTATGGAAAAAATGGGAAGGGAAAGTGGGAATAAATAGGGGGGGAGGGAAGGCATTAAAGGAAAGGAGAGCGGCACGGTTGGGCGCACTACTCTTCTCATCGGGAAATATTGTCAGGTGTTATGATATAATTAATAATGGCTGATTATGATTTTTTTATCATAATATATTAATAAAAATGAGATTTTTCATAATTTTGTAGGATAAAAATGTAATTTTTAATGAAATATTTTGATTAGAGATGGTTTTTTTCTTTATTTAAATGTATGTGTAAGTATATTTTAAAGGATATCATCGGTGAAATAAAGTGAGAATATTATTTATATTATTTTAATCTAATTTTTAAAGTTTTGGATGTAAAATATAGAAAATGATGAAGATGCTATATAATAATTATTTTTCATGTTGAATGAAACTGCTTTTTTCTGGAAGAAAAGAAAAATCACTATTTATTTCCTAAACACCGTAGCCGAAGCAAAAGAAAATCAGTCATTAAAGAAAGAAAAAAAACATTTACCTACATACCACCCAATATTTATTTATTTATTTATTTATTTATTTATTTATTTATTTACATATACATCTAACATTTAAAGTTTATTCCTTACATTTCTACCATCTAAATCTCTTACATCCTATAAAAATATTATTAACCTTTTAAAATTGATATATACTTTACATTAATAAATAAGATGATAATATATAAATGCATAAAAATTTAGTGGCATGTACACAAAGAAAAATTGTAACACATCTTTTTCTTCGTGTTGACAGGTGAGACCTGATCAAGATCATTAATTGAGCGGTGTCTGATTTTTCGAGGGGAGCCTACTGCGGTGGAGTCTTTTTTATATTGCTACTGTACCGTCTGTAATACTGCATTTACAATCCAATTCAATAATTCATTATAATACATTTGTGGTTTGTTTGGGCCAGCTCATAATTAAGGTGGCAATAAATCGTTTGGTTTGTGCATTTTTTGAAAATGTTGTCTGCCCCGTTTGAGTTTTTAAACTAAACGTAGGCCGGGCCGTATTTCAAGATAAGTTGTTTATTCTGAAACGCACAAGCTGCCCCAAACAGACTCTTAAGCATTTCATTATTCTGAACATATTTATAAAACTGTATTTTTATGTAATTTTAATCAATAAAAAATTTTATAAATATTGAGATAAAAAATAATAATACAGATCCACAAATACTCATGTTAATACAAAATATAGTTTTTGAACTACTTATGAAAATGCTTCGTATATGTTGTGCTACTTTCAGATTATTATTATTTTTATAATTTTTAAAGCACTAAATTTAATGGCATAAAAGAATTTGTATGGACTTTACGTCTAAAACTAAATAATTCTTATATTTACGAGAATGTCCTAATATTGCTTTTTTTATATATGGAATGTTAACGTTGATGTACAAAGTTCCATTAGTTGTTTTCCCTTCATAACAAAACGGTGGATAGCAAGGGATGGACGACACCTAAGGTTTCGAGGTCTTGTAGGCTACAATTATCCTAATTTTGTATTCGGTTATTTTGCTTTTCTAAAATGTTTCAAAATTATATTTTGATTAGAACTAATAAAAATTATGATCTCAAAGTTGAAAAAATTTTGTTATATAATATATTATTATTCTAAACTATTCTGCACATATTAACATGATGTTATTGAATCTTTATTTCAAAAATTTTATTTTTCTGGCAAATATATTTATATAAGTTGTAAATTAGCTTAAACTTTGATCAAAATTATTTTGTGGCCAACTAGAACAAGCTAAAAGATAAGCAAGCAAAGGTTCAATTATATGATTCATTTGCATGCAATCAAATGCTCCTCTTCACAAGGTTGTAGTGCCATTGAAACCTATCCCCAATGAGCTTTTCTTAGCAACTTCTTAACTCCATTTATTGTTGTCCCGTGATGCCTTCTCAGCAAGCTCCCACCTTCTCTTTCACTCATTATCATCTCATGATTTCTTCCCTAATGAGCCATGTCAATAAATCATCTTCTTCTCATATGATCATAGAATAATGAAGACAATTTCTAGTTCAAATATCAAAGTGATTTGTGACTTTAAAAAGGTGTTCAAATTTACATTTGATAGAAGAAAAATTTTGCTATATATTAGTTATTATGAGATTAATTATTGCAAAGCAAAATGAGAAGGTGAGATGATGAATAGTTAGGTGAGGATACCTTAAGGTCAAAGTTATTTATGATCTTAATGGGGTTGTTTGACTTATGCATCAATTGTATCAATTTTTTATTTTCACAGTGGCCGAGATAAGAAAAAAAAATGTTGGTTATTTGAAATGAAAGTATTTATTTATATTTTTTTGATAGGCTGGTATAAATATAAATTAGATTATCAATTTTTTGTAATTAATCCCAAGCCTAGTATTGATGATGACTTATTTTTACGGATTTTTTTTTAATGTTTTGGTCTTATGTGAAATACTTTAATTATTTGGAAAGTGTTGATATTTTCACCTAAGGCCAAAAGTTAAGTTAAAAAAAAAAAAAAATCATATTTTGAAATTTTACTTGTTATTTTCAACCAATATGTTATACATTTGAGCACAATCCGAAATAATCTTGTTTATGACTAACATGCAAATGTTAATTTGTCCCACCAAAACATGCCGATATTCACAACTCATAACTCCCTATTAACTTTTAGAATTTTCAAAGTCTACTATTCTTTGTAATTGTTTTCAGGAAAGGTGAACTTAAAAGCTAATATGTGTGATTCAAATTCGCGACCTCATGGTGGGAGATTACACTCTCAATCACTATGCCACGAACACACAATTCCTATGTATTAACATACAAACCAACCAAATTTCAATTTTTACCTACAAAACACGCAAACGATGTCAAAAATATAGGAATCGAGTTGTTTGTATTTAAAAATTGATGTTTGAATGGTTGATATATTAATACATAGGAATATAGGCCCCTTAATTATAATCTACTTATATGTCACTCTAATAATTACAGTGACATATATTTGGGGCATTTACGAACATAGCTCGCAATTGTTACGTATTTACTTATCTCACACCTAAAATTAATATTCACGCACGATCGTACCATTACCACGTTTTAAAAGTGAAATACATCATTTCAAATATTGGTTTTAAACACAAAACTCTTATGTATCAAACATTAACTTTTAAGTGTGAGACATGTAAATATTTAAGAATTATGTGCTATGTATGTAAATTTCCCAATATATCTTTATGTATTTCTTATATATTGAAAATTTTATTCACATATTCTTCTCATAATGTATCTTATATCAAGAACTCCTCACTTCTCGATTTAAATAAAAAAATAAGGAGAGTATTTATTTATTTATTTTTATTTTATTATTATTATTCACATATTCTTCTCATATTCTTCAATAAGAATTATTAATTGCAAATAGCTGATTTACACATGGAAGCAAAAGAATTGTTGGAAAATCTAAAGGCTCTTTTGATACCATTTTTGCTTCCTATTTTTTTTTATTTTTTCTTTTATTTTTAAAATACGCAAAGTTGATATAATTTTTATATATTTTTATCTTTCTTACTTCTTAAAAATAAAGCAACTTATTTTTAAAAATGCACAAAATACTAAAAAAAATTGGAATGTCTTTAAAAATAATTATCTCAATAAAAAATGTTTAAATTTAAATTAGAATTTAAAAAATAAAATAAAAATAAAAGCCATCCCAAGCAACCTCTAAGAGATTGCTAGGTTCCTTTTATTTCTTAAACATATTTATTATGTAAAAGATTTTAAATACCATATTCGATTTACAAAATTAATTTTTAAATCGATTAGCTGAAACGAGATAGGATCATACATACCTCCAATCATAACTTAAACGAACAGAGTCGACACTCACAACTCACACGACAAATTTTCTATTATAGATCTTCTAAGCTTTTCTAACTCACAACCCGATGCGCAAATAAAATGAAGAGGAGCAACCTTAGAGACCAAAACAGCAAACATCACATCTAATTTATAGTACTCTGCCCATCACAGAGTTCAATGGATGTGACCACATTATGGAATGTTACTAAATTGATGTGTTGAACTTAGACACTATATGAACCACATTCTGAAAATTATTTCTCTTAAAAACACCAAAGAATTCCAACGGTTATTGAAATTAATTTGAGAGTTTCAATGGGTATTGAAATTAATTTGGATATTCCAAAGGGTATTAAAATTAATTTGGGAATTTCAAAGGGTATTGAAATTAATTTAGAGTTTTAATTAATTTGGGAATTCTAAAGAAATAAATTTAATTCCCATCATTAACTAATTTGGGAATCTTAAAGAAAAAATCCCAACATTCTCCCACTTGGTTCATATAGTTCAACACATATCATATAGAGAAACAAAATATATGAATCATGGCGATAGGTCCTCTTATAGTGAGTATTATCTTCCATGTATTACACTATATCAAGTCTCTCAACACTATCCCATACAACTTAATGAATAAACCATATGTCTATTCCAAAGTCCAAACCGAATGAGATTTCTCAAAATAAACGAATGAATAAATATGTGCACAAAACCATATGAGAAATCATCAACTGAATTAAGAGTTTCAATAAATATTCGTACAATGTAAATCACATTATGGAACCAAGTCCCATTCGTACTACGTGATCCTTAAAATTCTTTGGTGGCATGCCTTTAGTCAAAGGATCCGCAATCATCAACTCAGTGCTAACGTGTTCAATGACCACTTTCTTTTCCTTAACACGTTCTCTTATGGCTAAATATTTGATGTCGATGTGTTTACTTCGACTTCCACTCTTATTGTTCTTAGTCATAAATACTGCAGCTGAGTTGTTACAGTACAACTTTAATGGCCTTGAAATAGAATCCATGACTCTAAGTCCAGATATGAAACTCTTCAACCATACACTATGCGAGGTAGCCTCAAAACAGGATACGAACTCAGCTTCCATAGTGGAAGTAGCAGTCAAGGTCTGCTTAGCACTTCTCCAAGATACAGCTCCACCAGCTAGCATGAAAATATAACCAGATGTTGATTTTCTTGAGTCA